TCTGTCGAACTATCTTCTTTATAGTTGTCGTATCGAGTGCCTGTATCTTGTATCGATCTTCCGTTATCGCGGGTTTGTTATTCTTGAATTCAAGTTTTCTCTTCTACTAATTCACACTTAGCTTATTTATTATCAACTATAGAAATCCGAGTACAATTTCATGCCTTGTGTTGTTTAAGACATCAAATCGGGTTTCCTGCTGTAGCTAGTTAATATGCAACTTTACTAGTACCGTCTCATAGGTAACCGTAGGTAATTCGGCGCCGTTAATAGCGGTCAATTAGTATGCGTGCTTCTTTCGTTAGGTAGCGATCCCAAGTCTCTATACTAAGTCGGCTGAAATGAAGCTTGCGCTAGCTCCTGTATCGATTAGGGCTATAGTAGGGCTGTGATTCATATGAACGAGTAATTGAAAGACTCCGTCCTGCTTATGTCTCGTAGCGTATACTTCTTTCTTCTCGACTTCTTCGTATATTTTCACGTATCCAGGCGCTAGGCTCTGATATCGTTTCGGTAGTCCTTTCCTAGTTGGGACCTCAGGATAGTCACGGATACTAACCTTCCTTTTGTTTTTGGGTTTCTGGGGAAACCATCCGGCTCCGCTCTTGTCTATGAAGTGAATCACACAAGAGTCATCGTAGCAACCGGTCCAGCTAAGGTTCTCGTGCCCAGTTTGTTTTCCTTGAGGGTCGTCTTCGTGTTTCTCAGTGCTGTTCATTTGTCGGTGATTCTTGTTGGGACATTCTTTCGAGTAGTGCCCGGGCTTGCCGCATGAGTAGCACGTGACGTTTTTCTCAGAGTTGTTGATTGTTCCCCTGTTCACCTTGTTCTTCGATCGGCAGTCCTTGGAGATATGCCCGATCTTTCCACAGGCGTAACAGGTCATTTTCTTTCCGTTAGTCATCGGTTTCTTCTGGAGGTTGTCGATTTCCATCGCGTCGGGGTCGCGGGGTCGCATTCTGAAGCGTCCGATGTTTGGTGTATTGCGATACATCGGGATGGCTCCTGTCTTGTTTTCATACTTGCGTTCGATGGATCTCTCGTAGAGTCGATCTCCAATAGTGCAAGCTGACTCGACGAGCGGTCCGAGCTCATCGATCCTTGGGCCCCATCGCATGAGTTCATCTTTGACCTCGCTCTTGAGTCCCTTGCGGAACATCTCGGCGAGCGCAGCGTCGCCCCAGTCAAGCACTACAGCGAGTTCCTGGAACCTTGCTGCATAGTCCCGAACGAACCCTGTCTGCTTGAGTTGCTGGATGTAGCGCGCGGCGTCGATTGCCTCGGTCGTATTCCCAAAGATTTGTCCACAGGCATGCTTGAAGTTGGGCCAATTGTCTAGGATCCCGGTCTGCTCTATGCCTTCGAGTTTAAGCTTGAGGAACTTCTTGACCCATTGTTCCGCTCTGCCCCTGAGGTGCATTGCAGCCAGCAAGGCTGCATCCTCTTTGTTCTGGGGATTGAAGCGAAGGTACAGCTCCACTTGGAGTGTCCAGTTGTCGAACTTGCTACGGTCTCCATAGAATAGATCAGGCTTAGGAACCTTAGCGTGTCCCGTACGTGGGTCAGAGGTGGCCACAAGCAAGTCCGGCTTGCTTGACTTGCTTGACTTGATCCAAATGCGGTTAGTTACCAAGTCAAGTCGGCCAGGTTTTTATGAGTAATCAAGTCAAGCCGTAGATTGAGACTTGCTTGACTTGCTTGACATAGGTCTTGGTATAGATCTAGATTGTATATATCGCGTACACTATAGCGAGAGTTACTCATCCGTATAGATTAGGGTCTCAGCGTGACCCTCTAGCTGTAACCCAAACCCTTATTTTCCCCTACGGATACTGCCGGCGTCCAGACAGCCAATCAAAAGCTAGTAACCCCGACGTTACCTTACAGCTAACCTCCGAGTTACTCTAGAGACACGCGAAAAAGAACGCTATTCTACTCATTATTATAGCCTCAATTATTAGTAACGACTTGTTAGACCTACCGTCTACATCAAATCTCTCGATACCTACCGTAATCTAACGATCTAGCGACTTTCAGTCGAACACGGGCGTAAATAGTAACGATACCTCTGTATACTCTTGGGAATACGACGGTTTTAATCTACGATACCTCTCGAGAGAGTACGACGTCGATAACGTTAGCGAAAAGAAATCGTTCATCTATAAGTATAGCTCGAGATTCATTAAGAAGAGCGATTAACAAGCCTACTAGCTATGCCGATATTGTTACTAGAGCAAGCCGATAAAGTTCTCGGCGTTTACTATCGCTAGGGCTACGACGGCAGCCCTTAAACACCTTCGTAAAGAATACCGCGTCGAGAATCCATCGAAAAAGAGGCGGACTACGGATAGAGATAGCTGCGATAAGCATGATTTACTATTATCTTCGATTGAGACTTAGTTCTTATCAAAGAATATAGTACGTAGCGCTTTCGATAAGGATGTCTTCTCAGCTTTACTATACCGCTAGATAATTACAGATAATATTACTTTCCTTAAAGTCGAGAGCGCGGAGCTTCGTGCGCTATTAGAATACTATCTACCTATAGTAGCAGCTTCTCTCCCCTCTCGTAAGATAGTAGGCAGGAATATTAAGGCGCTTTACAAACAGAGTCTTGTAACTGTTATAGAGGCTTTAAGGAGCGCGCTCTCGAAGATCAGCTTTAGTTTTGACTTGTAGACGTCGCCGAACAATAGGTCTATGTGTTACGATCCCGTAACACGGTACAGTAGAAGATAGAAGGGAACGACGACAGCTAGTCGTTAGAGGACAAGGACATACGGCTACGAGCGTCAAACCGTTACGTAACTAGTGCCTGAGGCAGAGAGGGTGCTCTGCGATCTAAAGGATTAATATGCAGAGTAGTAGAGCATCTGCTCTGTAAGATCTGAGGATCTAAACACAGAGCAACAGAGTAGCTACACATTCCCTTTGTATCTAACTTACATATATAGGTAGAACGAATGGACCTTATGTCTGTTCGTGTTGAACTTATGTTACTAACTTACCTATTAGAATACAAAGCCCCTTCTCATATCCCTATTGTACTACTCATTCTCAAGAAGCTACCTCGAGTAAACCGCCTTTAGCAGTTGACCCGTAACACCCTAGCGGAAGACGAGTACTAATCCGGAGGGCGGCCCTAAATAATAAGAAAGGCACCTAACGAGCGCTATAGCAGATAGAGGTAACTCTTAGCAGCTTCTCAAAGCCCGTAGACGGAAATAGTCGCTCTATTTATAGAAGCGGTCTGTATTTAATAACGTCTTAGTATTTGTATATAAGGGTACTACAGAAATATAGCTGAGAGTATTAATGTTCAAACCCTTACAAATAATAGTTCGTACGTTATTATAGATTATTTGTAGTAATTACCTTGTCGAAGGACCGGGCTAGGCAACGAGAGGCCTAGTAACTACGCTAGACCTTTTGGGTGCGGTCTCGCGGCCGATCCCGCTCGGACTTAGCCCCTATGTTTTGTGTTTATATAACGTATCGTAACCAACACTAATCAGATACTCTTGTAGACCAAATTCTATTTTCGCTCTATAGTTCTTAATCTCCTTTCGAGCTTTGGGCTATAAGCTATTATTACGGTAGACTAGCGCATATCGTCCAAGATATCGCTATGTAATTATGAAATTGTAGTATATCCGACGTGGATTTGGCCGGTAAAATAGACAGATATCAATTCGAAGATTAACTATTATTCCTACTATAGGTGACCTAGAGTACTAAGTTGGGAATGTTATTCGTGAGTGCTTGGAAAAAGCAGCGTGAGAATATAGAAGGATATTAATCAAACAAAGTATTAAATGTACGGGAGACGTAATCTGCACCAGACGAACAAATATGTTCGATATCCTGTACTGTAAGCAGTTACCGGCCCGCGAACGCAGAATATATGTAGTAAGCGTTAATCCCCAGACGATATAGATATAGAGCTGGCCGGCGCTTCCGTAGGCGCTTTACTACGGAGGAATTTGCCTCTTTTCGTAACTATACCGTGTTCGTCGCGATTTCGGTTTTGGTAGCTAACTAACGGCCCGGAGATCAGCAGAGGAAAACTGTACTTACACCTACCAAAAATAGCTTTATAACTATTTGAAGGGTTCTCTGAGTAATTGCACAAGAGCCTATAAGGATTAAATGTTACACTCGAGGTTAATTACAGTTACCGAATACACTACGAGGGCTGCAAGTAAGGTTTGCGCTATAACCTCCGTCTGTATCGGGTCGTCCGGCGAGGTGAAGATTCTTATCGCCAGACTCAAAGTTATACGTAGCAGCTATAAGGCTTCCATGTATAGTACCGCAAGCTAGGGCGTCGTCGTCGGAGTTATACTCTACACTCGTTACTAGACTTGGGCCTCGTGTTTCATACCGAAATACAATTTCGTAGGGTAGATTCGCGTAGAGAGGGCGACGAACTGGTCCCCTCCGAATCGAGTCGAATTCAGGTCCCTGCTTAACGAACATCTCCGCCGTGTTAGCAGCTCGACTATCACGATGGACGGAGTGCTAAACTCGCGCCTTCTCCGGTTTTGGCCCAATAGGCGTGTAGGCTTCTGTTATCGTAGCGAAGTCGCGCTTCTTTTTCTCGTACTGTATCCGGTTCTTTTGCGGCAACTGTCGGAAGTCTGTAAGTTCGACATTATCGTTCGGTTCGACCAAGGCTATTAAGTCCCAGAATTTGAGCACCTTATCCTATTCCTCTTTACTCTGGCCGTTGAGTATGTATGTGCGTACGGAGCTGCAAACATTTGCAAAGGTAGCTGAATAACGTTAGATATTATACAAAACTTCGGATTACGGGACTTACTTCTTACGAACCACCTGCCAAGGTCGGAACTACTATTAATATCGAGATGTGCCTTCATGAAATTGTAGCAGGTGAAGTAGCTCTAGGAGCTGAACTGCTCACCGATATGAGTTGCGTAGGTATCGGCCTCTATCCTACGCAAGCTTGTATTATCCTCGAGTTGCTTAGCAACAAAGTCTTTGACCGTAGCGAGAGTTCTGGATTTGAATAATCGATTATAGCCGAGAACTTTCTGTCGGCCCCATTGCTAATCGTCGCTGTTAACGTCGACCCGATCGCCCCAAGCATGCTATAGTAAGTCTTTATAGTTCGCAACAGAGTGTAGCATAAGTACATTCCACCGAGTCAGAAGATCAAGTTTGCCTTCGTAGATGGTCTTCTCTTCAACAGTCAATCTGTCTTTTGGGGGAATGAGTGAGTTCGCCGCCTTAGTTGTTCGCCTTATCGTCGTGCCAGCTTCCAGACATTCCCGCAACTTTTTGCGCTTCATTGCTGCTCCGACAGAAGCACCAGAGCCGCTGCTTTCGCGGATAGGGTCACCATGTGAAACGATTTGGGGCTGTTCCTCATCCCTTGGCTCTGGGCTGGGTGCTCTTGGAACGCAGAGAATGCGCGCGGAAGCAGGCGCTTCGCTTGAATTTGTTGCAGGAAGAGTAGCGAGAAGGCGCCGAGATTCTCTTAGAGGGTAACGACCATATCTTCGTGAGAAGTACAGTGGCTGACAGGTTGACACTGGCCAGTCAGACCCTCGGGAATACATTCCGGCAGTGTTCGTATCGTGCATGACCAGGTCGTCACTCGTGCATGAAGCAGTAGTCTGTACAGGGCGGTGCGAGATAGCATCGCCATATCTCTCTGCACAAAGAGCGGGAACGGCAAGCGCATATGGTGGGAGGAGTTCTTCGGTGGATGAGAGCACACACGGCGTTTGCTGAGAGGCGAGCGACCCTGGTCGTCATCTGAGGAGAGTGACGCCTCGGCGCGCACTAGTCCAAGCTGAGGACTTTGCGACGGCAATGACCCTCGCACCCTCGCCCCCTCCCCCCGGCAGGACGAGAGCGGGAACGAGGAAAGGGATTCGTGATGGCGCTTGTATACGCCTGCATACGCACGCTAGGCCGATCCGAGAAACATCTCTCCCTGCGATAGTCGGGTGTGCTCCAGGAATCGCGAGCCGAGAATCTCCACGGCGACTACAGGTCTATTTTTAGCATTCATAGCTACTGTGCGAGACTATCCATCGATCATCACGAAGATGGGGTCGTATAAAAGGCGGGATCCTGCGATGTACTGCGTAGGAGCGGAGTCATTTGCGACGTTGAACTTGAAGCAGAAATATGATCCCACACGTTCTTATTCTAGTCCTCAGCGGCCTTGCACATGCTTATCAGCCGGCCCACAGTATCAAAGTCCGTAGTCATGAAGATACGATGAGGTTCACACCCCTGGAGGGTGTAGCCGCGGAAGGCTCTATCGTCCGCTTCAGCTCTTCCGCCGACGAGCTATCTCTGTATGGTTGGACAGGAGAAAGTCCGTGCGGCACACCATCAGCTACGACGTACCGCTACGCAGCAGAGAATACTGTTGGGTCTGGTGTCACACTGGAGATCGTCGCTGCAGACTGCCAGGTCATGTTCTTTTCCGTTGTCGATCCAGCGGAATATTGCGATCCCGATTATGTCTTCACGTTGCGCATCGAACCATCATCCCAGAGTGACAACACGCCAAGTCCGACGGCCCAGCCCTTTTCTGTCGACACAGATTGTGCATCCACTCCGCTAACAACGAGAGCGACCCGTCCGACCCTGGTCAAGAGACCTGGCTTCAGCCTGAGTCACACGAGGTCCGTGCGGCTCTCAACCGGGACATCCAGCTTCGAGCCTCGTCCCACGTGCCTCGAGAAGTTGAAGCGTCCAACATACAGCGTGTTTCCCCCGTCTCCCACTTCGCGACAGTCTCTAACTTTACCGAGCATTCTACCGCCGAGATCGAATATCACGACAGCTCTCCAAGCTATTCCGACTGGACCCCAGCCGGCGACCGGAGGGTCCACGACTACAACTCCATATCTGCTCATGATTGCGCTGGCCGGATCATATGTCATTTGCAATGCTTATCTCTGAGGGACTCGGTAGCTCGGGCTCTTATGACCTTGTGTCCTGTGTCGTGTGATAATTTGTTGAAAAACTCGTACATTACAGTTTTGTATCTTGCTGGACAATCGTCTTCACTTGCGTTTTCGGTATTTGATTATATAGGAAACAAATAAAACACGCATTAGAGCCATGAAGTATCAACCCTGCCACTCGGAATATACACTTTCACTGTAGAACGACGACCCGTGCCGTTTTGCGTCTGCAATGTCGCTGGATGTTTGGGCATGAGAGCCATCGCTCTAGAAAGACTGTCAGGATTATTGCTAAACGCGACAAAGTGAATTGTGTACATTTTGAGACAATGTGCGGTAGACCTCTTCGCGGCGCACCCAACGTAGCCGCTCAACTTCGGCGGCGTCGAATCTCTCCTGGCACTCCGACCACATCTTGATCCAGTAGTCGCAAGTTGCTTCCAAGTCGGCGACATCTTGGATCAACCTGTCTCTTTCGGCTCGGAGTCGTTGTGCATCCTTGTGGTGTTGTTCTCGCTCAGCTTTCATTGTCTCGATGAGTAGGTCGCGGTGAGCCCTAACGCCAGACTCATAATGTGATGTCTGCGGTTGGCGGAGGATGCTGCCGGGCGCAACGAGTTGAACGTGGGGATGTACGGGCAACCCTAAAGGCCCACCGCGAACGATATCCACCGGCATGACTGGAAACTTGCAAAGGGGCATTTTGGCACAAGAATTCCATGTCTAATGAAGCTTGACGATTTATGTAAAACTGTTCATGATTGCATACGACTACGTAACTCTGCCTACGACGATGTGCGAGCTCCAAACAGGACCCATCACCCAGTTCTGGGATGTCGCCTCGTGTTTCGCCGAAGCTCGTCAGGAATTAACGAAGCCCGTGCGCGGAACTGCTGCACGGGGTGTGATCGGCGTCCGAGATCCTGTCCCTGCAGATTCACGTGACGGAGTAATCATGCAGGGCGACACATCCGACGCGCTTGTCATGTGCGTCTGCACTCGATTCCGTGGCGTCGGCGCGATCGGAGCGGAGGCATCGAGACGCCGTCTATGCTCAATCCATGGATAAGCAGGAACGTCTGGCCGCTCGCCGAGTGACAATGATTTGGGTAACGGGCGTGGTTCCTCTCTACTGTGCAGTGGCAGGGAAGTTGTTAGATGGTTCCGCCCTGCAGAGAAGCTGGGAATTATAGAATAGACCTACAATGGCTCCAGGAGTCTCGGGCCACCTATGAGGGGGGGCAGATGCGCAGTGTAGTCGGTAGCGTCGGCCGTTTGCGTCCGCTGGAGAGATTCCAAGAGCGCCTGCACGTGGTATAGTTGGGATTGAACATGGCTGGTTGCGTCTGAGGCGTTCTCTTGCAGTCCCCGCAGGTATCTGTAGTCGGTGCGAAGTCGGTTGAGCTCTTGCTGGATGGCTTCAAACCGCAGATGCGTGACGCGATCCATTTCGTTCATGGTCGTGGTGGTGCTGTCTGGCCAACACAGCAAAGAAGCGCCCCCTGTGACTATTTATGTCACAGGGTCATGATCCTCACGCAGCAGAGTATGCGAGCGGCTTTCGGGATGTCGGTTTCCAGGTGCTTCAATTCCAACTCGTGCCTACCTGGCCAACGCGCAGCCTTTTCAGCACAACTGGACGGGCATACATCCATCCCTGCAACCTGGCCGTGATCAAATATCTCATCACGTCCTGTGCCGCGTTTCTTGTCGTCGCTGTCAAAGGGTTCCCGCAGACTAACATGGGTTCCATCGCGCACGCCTTTCCGCGCCATGCTCGCCATCAATTGCCCGCACCCATCTTGGTCAAAGCTTCTCTCAACCGTCCCTCGCCGACCTTGTCCCAATCAGGGCAGCCCTCCATTGCGGCGCAATCAGAGCAGCCCCCCATTGCGGCGATAAGCAGACGGGGCCGGACGCAAACCTCGACAACGTTTGCGAAGGTCGCTTGGTCCGATATCACAGTGTTGGGCACAATTACACAGGGATCAGTACAATTCTTGATCGTGAATCAATGCGAGGACAGGTCTAGATTGTTAATGCTGGCTAAAGCATCCTCTGCCGAGCACAACAACAAGAGGGTTATGCGGCACCCAAACATACTAAGCGTAGAAATCATCTTACAAGATAAAGATGCGTTCTATGCCGGCTATGCGTATACACGTACTACACTCGAAGACATGCTCAACGTTCACATACCTTTCGGCGAAAAAGAGATCAAAGTAGTTGCTGTCTCCGTAAGTGTCTGTCACCACCACTATGAAAGTACAGCGCTTACAGGCAGGTAGCTCTTCGCCGCCGTTACAGAGCTGTACCAGCAGGGGTTTGCTCATGGCGCAATCAATAGTCGCAACGTTCGCGTGTGCGGCAGGACACTGAGACTAAAACTCTGTAGGTCGAATTAGCCAAAATCATGGCCGGGTTGACTGACGTGATTAGTGGTCCCCTGTCATCCAAATGGCAACACATCCGCCTCGCTGACGGATGACTTAGACGCTCTCGGCCTACTCCTCCTCCGATGCATGGAGGTCCCAGCAAAGCGCAGAACATACACCGCGGCCGAAATTCGAAGGTTTCGCGTCGATAACAAGCTGTTTGGCTTGTCGAACTCAGAGCGATGGAGTGGCTGCAAGCAGCTCGTTGATTTCATCGAGGACTTGTTCTCGGAAGATAGACCAGCCTTGGTCAAAGTCCAGAAACCAGTATGCGGATCCCATCCTCCAGCATGTACGTACACCTGGCTAATGCGGCACAGCACAAATACGTCTGCGCAGCTACACCATCAACCGAGTTGGTCACTCCGTACGTAGAGTTGGCCGTGTTGGAATGTTTTACGGCGTTTCAAGCTGCTATTCCCGGGGGGGATAACTTGCCCATAGAAGACCAGTAATATAAAATCAGTGTTTCACTAGATACCTTGAACCCCATTCGCATCGCCTTTACACTTCTTTCAAAATTTCAAAATTTCAAAATGTCTAACGACCTTTCTGAAGGCTACCTGCTGGACAACAACGCATTGCAATTTGATGTCGATGCGCTGGGAGACAGGCAGATTGTGCCACAGCAAGCATTGATAGCGCCTACTCAAAATTTCAGTCCCGGCGCAAGAGGCCGATTCAGCAACACTGAAGATTCACCAAGTCGTCGACCAACTTTCCCCCAAATTCGCGCTGGCCCCCGCCGGCAATTAAGATCACGCCCATCCGGAGTGCTTCAACAGCTACACACAGAAGCTCCCGCGGTCAACAGAGCACCCGCACGGCCGTCAAGGCAACCAAGTGCACATCCACCAAGCAACATGGATCAAAGATTTCTCGCATCAATCCATATGTTGAGCCAACGAATCGATATACTGTTCGATGCTTTGTACACATTCTACGAATTGTGTGAGCCGGGGGCCAATGAATCTGCAGATGCAAACTACGCGCAACGCCTCGGACGCATCTTTGAATATCTGAGAGAATACGAAGACAGCCTTCTACAGCAGACGTAAAGTCGAGCGGCTCATTTCCCGGATCTGGCTTCTTGGTGTCAGCTCCAGCATTCCCTTACGGATGTTTGATGCCGGGAAATCGGATAACGGCTGAGGCGCGTTGAGGAACACACACTTGATATATGTATCTTTGAATTCCGTGCAAGCAAATTATCCTGTTGAACAGCAAACATCCTTTTCGTTTCAAGTGCGAGGAGTTTCAGCATGAAACTGTCCAACTCTGTGCGCTTCCCCGAGGACCCCTTGACGATGATCTCAAGACAGCCGACGCTCCTCGAGATGAGCGTCCTCGAGGACTTCGAATGTCACGCTCGACAGTGCCGTGATTGCCAAACCGCACGGCACTTGACCTCTTTCATCCCCCCTGATCTCTGCCCGAGAGGCTTCAACTATGCTCGCGACCTCACACGGCTGTTCTATTCCGCGTCCGACGGCAACATCTACAGCACCACGGCTACCACAACTCGACGATTCCGAGTAGAGATTCCCCTTCATTACCATGAGGTGCGAAAATTGTACAGAACAGAGCAACAGCGTGGTGGTGCAAGGGCTGCGCGGCGACCAAGACGAAGCTGCATCGATCAACGGAGCCCCACCACAGCTCTGCCATTCCGCGCTCGTCGCAATCGAACTTCAGAGCGATAAGAGGGGCTGGTGAAGCTGGTGAGGCAGTGGAGAATAGGGCACACACATGATGTAGACAGTCAGCGTCAATAGTACTATTCCAGAATCAAGATTCAAGCCGCGAGCATTTCGGGATCCCTGTCTACTGTATAGTCCTAGTTCGTGATTGTCGTCGGAGCACGTATCGCTCTGCATCCACCAGGTGTGCGGGTCGAGCTGGCCCGTGCTTCCCAAAGCCGCAAAGGCTTGCAGTAGTCTCACCAACATGCAGCCCTCAGGAACAGACAGTGGTTGCCGCGGCACATTGTTCGCATGTGAGCGCTTGTTTCGCTATAGACGGAGGGGATCACCGATATGTTGGACACGCTTGGACTTCACACCACCCTCTTCTGGGTTCCATCACACTCGGGGTGGCTGGACCTGGATTGTGAGCCTGAAAAGCAATATGCCCCTACCCCTCCCTAAAATGCTGTCCACATCGTAATGTTTGAGTCCCGCTATGCCGAAATGAACTTCACGTCTCTTATCTCGCCTCCGAGATGGCGAATCTGGGATATGCCCACAGAAATAGGCTTCGTGATTCCCACAACAGGGACGTGCTCTGATCATCGGAATGTGTGTGGGATTGCGAAATGGGTGGACTGCAGGTGTTGCGTCTTCGCGAATCTGAAGGCGCACACGGAGGATACTGGAAAACTCCAAAGCTCCCCAAATCCAACCCCGGAAAATTAAAGCGTCACAACTCGGTCGATATTCATCCTTTCGACTTGACTTTTTCCATTAAGAAGTCGAACAAGTGATCTTCAATCGTCTGCTCTTTCTGTTTGTCTAGAGAGCTGGTTGCTGGTTGAAGAACTCGGTGCAGGTCTGAGCGGGAACCTCAGGATGCAAGTGAATCCCATCATGAGCTGAGGCGGCAGGCGGATGCAAAACCCTAACCCCCATCCCTGCGTGACGGAACACCTGCGTGCCGGGACAAATATCTGATACCGAAGCATTTTTCTGTCATTTTTGATCGCCACATAGTCTGGTTAAGGACGACATCCGCATATGTCATAGTCTACGCATAGCTGAATGTATTCCACCCGGTTCTGTAACATATCAAGTCGGTATCATGAAGACAGGCGTATGTAAAGTTCTGCTTGTGCAATTCTTCATCTCGGCTGATTTTACAATTTTTCATCTCTACAAGCACGATATGTCCTTAGGACGCCGAAATCAGCCTGGTATATGTATTCGAATCTCTCATACCGAAGAACGTCGCTAGAAGGCAGATGGAGCACAGTGGAAGCTGATTGCAAGGTTGTTTAGCTCATCATGACCATCGTGCATGTGCTGGCTCCGGACTGCAGCTCCGCGATAGCCGACAGTATGTGGATACGCACGCGCCTGGCGCTCCGAGCTGTGCTAGGTCAGTGTGGCCCCACAAATGACTAACAGCACAGCCTCGGGTCAGCTTCACATCGCGAAGCGCTCTCTGTTTCTGACGACCGCCACGACCAATATACTGATTCGTGATACATCGGGTTGCTCCTTGTGCACCACTATCACAAACCATGCGGCTGCTGAACGTCCACAGCTTGAAGTTTGCAGAATTCAGCGACAAGAAGAGGCCTGCGTATGCGATCGCATCTCACCGGTGGGAGGAGCACGAGGCGACTTTTGCAGACGTGAGAGATACGCAGAACACACCATCTCTAGGATATCAGAAGATCAGAAACTTTGCTGAGTATGTCAAAAACCACGTTTCCGGCGTCGATTGGCTCTGGATCGACACGTGCTGCATCAACAAGGACAGCGCAGCCGAGCTGTCGAAAGCCATCAACTTGATGTTCGAGTGGTATCAACAAGCAGACGTTTGTCTTGCATATTTGCGGGATGTCGAGGAGGCGAGAGATGAGACGAAGTTTCAGCAGAGCGAGTGGTTCGAGAGAGGCTGGACGCTGCAAGAGTTGTTAGCACCACGGGTAGTCGTGTTTTTGACGCGAACATGGGAAGTAATTGGAAACAAAGGCGCCTCAACCAATGGATATGACGGGACAACTGTCGGTGACGGTTTGGAAGAGGTTATTGCCAAGATCACCAATGTGCCACGAGAAGTGCTACAGGAGTATCAATGCAGCAGTCAGGTGTCTACTCAAGAGAAGATTCGGTGGATGGAGGGAAGGAAGACTACTGAAGAGGAGGATATGACGTACGCTCTGTTCGGCATCCTGAATGTATCTCTAGCAGTCATTTACGGCGAGAGGGGAAGGGCGAGGGATCGACTTCTGGCTGTGATTCGAGAACGGGAGGAGCTCGAGCTAAGGCAAGCCGAGCTATACCGAAGGATTTCTAGCTGGGTATCACCTACAGATCCGTGGGAGAATCACCGAACGGCTCGGAAGCAGCATGAGCCCGAAACCGGGGCTTGGCTGTTACAGAGCGAAACATACCGAGCGTGGAAGGCAGGCTCGGACGGTCACCGCCATCTTTGGCTGTATGGGCCTGCGGGAAGCGGCAAAACGATTCTTTGCTCTACCGCTATCGAGGATGTACAAGCGCAATGTCGTGGTAGTGCAAATGTCGGTCAAGCCATCTTCTACTTCTCCTTCTCTGACCAGACAAAGCAAACGTATGAGAGCCTCGTTCGGTCTGTAGTCGTGCAGCTCGGGTGCCGAGAACCAGGACTTTCACTCTTGCGCCAAGCGTATGAGAGACCGGAGCACAAGACACCTGGAGCGGACGAGCTGCACCGGATCCTGGCGGTTATCGTCCGGTCGTACGATCAGATTTTCCTTCATCTGGACGGGCTGGACGAGTGTCTCGGCGAGCAAGACGGACGACTCGATATCCTGGCTTCGCTCGAGATGCTGTCACAATCCTTTCCCAAGATTCGGATAATCGCTACGAGTCGAGACTACCCGGAGATCCGGTCTCGTATGGATAGCATTCAGGCTACGCTAACGCCACTCGATAGACAGGCAGTCGACTCCGACATTCAAAAGTTTGTCTCAACACAACTGGCCCAAGATATGCAATTACGACAATGGCCTGCTGCGAGCAAGAAACTCGTAGAAGAGACGCTTACGCAGAAAGCCCAGGGAATGTAAGTTGCGATGAGAGTCATGATCGTAGTAGTAACAGTCGAAGCTAACGATTGATTGAGCACACAGGTTCAGATGGGTCGTCTGTCAGCTTCAGGAGCTCAAGAAGACCAGGTCAACTAGGCCAAATTCGATCCGTCAAGCCTTGTCCGCTTTACCAAAAACATTAGACGAGACATACACACGGATGCTAAGGAGCATCTCAGAGTACAACCGCGTCGATGCGCTCGCGTTGCTACGGTGGATTACCTATGCGCAGTCGCCGCGAACGCTTCACGAGCTTGCAGAAGCTACGATTATCGAGCTTCCGGACGAAGCGGGCGTAGAAGGTGCGGTAGATATGGACAATCGCGGCGGGTGGGCAGACACATTATCGGTCCTCGCTGGACTAGTAATAATTCAGGGCGAAGAGGACGATAGGAGTGACGATAGCAGAGGCGAAGACCGCCTCGACCTTCGCGCCCCGAGTGAAGTTACGCAAGACGCGAAAGTCCGACTCGCACACTTCTCTGTACAAGAGTTTCTAGAATCTAGCCGAATCCTAGCAGGCGACGTAGACGCGTTTCACCTCGATCCCGCACGAGAACATGGTTTTCTTGCACAGAGCTGTCTTGTGTACCTGTATCATTACAGCAGTTCGACAGAGAAGTGTATAAGTAAGGAAGACCTAGAGACGTTTCCACTTCTAGAGTATGCTAGCAAGGCGTGGTTCTACCACACGAGTTTACAGCAGCAAGATGACGGTCAGGTACGTGCAATCTCACTGTTAACATCAGAAGACAAAATGGGTGACTGGCTCGCTATCCACCAACCTGATAAAGGCTGGATAGAGCCTTTCGCTACCTCTGCTAGAGAAGTGTACATTAATGGCTTGTATTACGCAAGTTATCTTGGTTTCAGTCAGGCCGCACGGAGGCTGCTCGACAAAGGCGCCGACATCCACGCGCAGGGAGGCCGCTACGGCAACGCCCTCCAGGTTGCGTCAGCTGGCGGTCGCGCAGAGATCGTCCGGCTGCTGCTCGACAAGGACGCCGACGTCAACGCGCAGGGAGGCGAGTACGGCAACGCCCTCCAGGCTGCATCAGCAGAGGGTCGCGCAGAGATCGTGCAGCTGCTGCT